TTTGAATTGGCCAATCGATCTCAGTGTGCAGTAAGTGGCGTACAGCTGAATTCTGCTCCTGGTTTGCTGCTTGGTGATGGTAATTCTGTATAATAGTTGTTTACTTCGATATTTAAGGTGTGCTAGTGTTGTTGATCTCACCATTTTTTGATATTTTTTCTTATTTTTCTTGGGCTAAGTAATTCGTTAATATAACAAGTTTTGCCTTTATTTTTGCTTTATTATATATTTATTTTATTATATTTATTCTTATTTTATTGTTTTCTATGATTTTTCTAACTTCTATAATTTTGCTCCCCAGCCTTTTTTTGATTTCTATGTCCCTTGATGGATATCTCGAACCCGTGATCAGGGACGCTCAATTTTTCAGGCATGCCTCTTCTTGCTTTCATGGTAAACTTACGTATGGTCACTTGAATAGTCAAAGTTTGCGACCATCTAGATATAATCATAAGGTTGATGAGTTGAAATGTCTGCTTGTTGGTAGTGGTATTGATGTTTTTGCAGTGACTGAATCTTGGCTTAACCCTGCGGTGTCTTCGAGGTCGTTGATGGTTCCGGGGTACAAGGTTCTGCGTATTGACCGTGTTGGCCGCGTTGGTGGAGGTGTAATGCTATATGTGCGTGATAATTTGTCATATAAGGTGGTTTACCGATCGGAGAATTATGGTATGTGTGAATCTTTGTCTGCTGAGCTTTTCCTGGGCGGCGCTATAGTGCTCTTTACTGTCGTCTACTTACCTCGTGAGGACATAGACTCATTTCGTCTAATCCATGAGGGTATTTTTGATTCATATGCGAACATTGTTGTCTGTGGCGATTTTAACTATAATTTGTTTAAACCGTTGAATTCTTTATCAATGCCAACACTGTGCAGATCTCTTGGTCTTTCGGTTGTACACAATTCCAGTCCGACTCACCTTGATGTTGCCCGTAGCACTACCTCATTAATTGACTTTTGCCTGGCCTCTGATGCCTTGACTGTGAATTTTTCCTCGCAGGGGCAGTGCCCTGGTATTTCCCACCATTGATTTTTGGAGGGGTTGAACTCCCTATTCTTGCTGAAGAAAAGGTTATTGAGTTCCTGGATTTTCGTAGGACTGACTGGCGGGGCGTGGAAGATATTGTTTGCAATTTTGATTTTAGTCCTCTGAATCTTACGAATGATGTTGACCAACAGTTGGCTTTGTTTGATTTGTTGTTTCAAAATTTATTGTCTTTTGTACCTACTGCTACTAGCTGTTCTCGCCCAAAAAATGATGCTTGGTTGGGGTTGGATGTGGTAAAGTCGACCTGTTACGTTAGAGATCAGGCTTATCTGGAGTGGCGTAGGCGTCCTACGGTTCGCAACAGGCAGATATTTTGTATGTACAGAAACCGCTGTAAGGCTGTCATGCGTATTGAAAGAAGGAAATTTTATGAGGAAATGTTTGGTCGTATGAGTAGTGTGCAAATATGGAAGTCGTTAAAGTCGTTTGGTTGTCTTGATGATGGTTGTGATGTCCCATTTATTGATGTCAATGCTGTTAATAATTACTTTTGTAGTGTTGGTAATTTAAGTTCGTCTCGTGATTTTGTTGTTAGTGAGGCCAATGGTTTTGATTCTTTTAGATTTGACTGTGTGTACATGGAAGATTTGTTTCGTGCTTTGCGGAATATTAATTAAAATGCTGTAGGTGTTCATGGTATATCTATTAAGATCTTCAAATGCGTATTCCCTTACATTTGTAGTCAATTTCTGCATGTTGTAAATTGCATTTTTATGACGTCAAGCTTTCCACTTGCGTGGAAGGTTGCTCGTGTGGTGCCTGTGCCGAAGAAGGGTAGATCTTATCAGCAGACGAATCTTCGACCAATAAGCATTCTACCGGCTATGTCGACATTGGTTGAACATGTTATTAAGGATGCGATTGTTGATTTTCTTGATGACCGTAAGTATTTGAGTAGTTCCCAGTTTGGGTTTCGGCGTGGTTCTAGCACCATGGTTCATCTTTTAGCCCTCACTGATCTCATTCGTGATATGTTCAATAGTTCTGATGTTGGTTTGCTTGTTGGCCTTGATTTGTCTAAGGACTTTGATTCTGTGGATCATACGCTTCTGCTCTGTAAGCTGAGAGACAAGTTTTGTTTCTCTCTTTCTCCGTGTAGATTGATATCGTCGTATTTGAGTGGAGGATCTCAGTTTGTTGTGCACAGGTGTGTTCAGTCTGATGTTTGTACTGTTCGGTGTGGTGTCCCACAAAGGTCAGTGCTTGGCCCTCTGCTTTTTATTATGTTCATTAACGACATTGTGGGGTGTGTGTCTAATTCCAGTTGTGAAGTTTTCATGTATGCTGATGACATTCATGTCTTCTTTAGAAGTGCAGATTTCTTTCAGTTGAAAAATATGGCAAACACTACGTTGGGATTGCTTTCTATGTGGATCTCCTCTAATGGTTTGTCTGTAAATTGGAATAAAACTGAAGCTGTTCTGTTTAATAGTCCTCGTTATGTTCCTATGTCGTGCATCTGTGTTGGCTCCTTTGTGGTTAATGTTGTGGATGAGATGTTGTGGATGAGATATTTAGGTGTATTCAGTGACACCAAGCTTAATTTTTCAGCGCATGTTGATTCTTTACTGTCTTGTGTGCGTTTTCAGATGAGGAGGCTCTATAGTCTTCAAGCTCATTTGCCTCTTGGTGTTAGGATGATGGTTGCCAGATCTTTATTAATGTCTCATGTCAACTATTACTTGGAGGTCATCTCTGGGGCGAATGCTTGCCTAATTCTGCGCGTACGCAAACTTGTTAACTCTCTTGTTAGGTATGTGTTTTGGTTGCGCCGTAGTGATCGTGTAACACAGTATGTTATTAAGTTTCTTGGACTGTCCTTTGACAGATATGTTGAATATCGCCTGCTTTTGTGTCGTTACAGAATTATGAGGAATGTTAATTCTCCTTTATATAATAAGTACGTGTTTTGTAGATCATCTCGAAATCCGCAATTACTGTTTCCAAGATTTTCGTCTGTGGTTGAAGTGGAGAAGGCGTTTGTTGTGAGAGTTGCGAGATTGTGGAATCAGCTCCCTCTGACCCTGCGTTATTTTACCTGTTCTTTTGATATGTACAGGAAGAGGTGTTTTGAATATTTGTCTGTTCATTGAGTTTCTGGTTGCGGGTAATTTATTGTTATTTCTTTTTAGTTATTGGCTAGGGGCCATTTTTATGGTTGTTTATTTTCCATGTAGTACATAATTTTATCGTTCTTTCCCTTTTTAAGGATTTTTTTTGCTATACTTGTAGTAGCTACATTCGCTCGGTTGGAAACGAGTGATGATTAGCGCTTAAGTGTATTGATGCCTCTTGCCTTTTTTCTCTCTACCTTGCTTTGCTACTAAATTTAAATTATTATTATTTTTTTTCGTTGATTATTTTTGTTATTTATTTAGTTTTTTTTTCTTAGATTAATATTGTTATAGGCTGTTTTTATACGGTTGTATATTAATATAAGATTTTGGCCATGTTGGCTTATTTATTTTGAATTATATGAAATAAATGAAATGAAATGAAATTTCGACCTTTTGTGGGGGAGGTACCAGAGGTAGTGGACCGATATATTCTATCTTAACACCAGACCTTGGGTTAATTGCTTTGTGTGAAATTTGAAGACAATCGGACTCTTACATCACATTTTATGAGAGTTGCAATTATTCAAGCAAAGTCGGATTATCCTTTCTCTTTCCGTGCAACAAATTATTTTCTATGAAAATTTTGACATTTTGTGTGGGAGGTACCAGAAGGAGTGAACCGATATTGCCCATCTCCGAACTCGATCTAAATTTGACAAAAATATTACGATGTACCAAGTTTCGAACAATTCGGATACTCCCTTCGAGAGTTACCGTGCGCACCAGCCAGCCAGGCAGACAGATGGACGGACATCGGTAGATCCAAATGTTCTGAAACGGATTTGGTCCAAAGAGACCTAAGGTCTAAAACCGTTATTTCGACTAGGGACGTTTTGACGGTATCAAATGATATATACTCTCTGTAGCCATATGGCTGAGGGTATAAAAACGCTACATTTGGATAATTTTTTTAGTTGTTATCATTTGGCTGTGCGTTTATTGGTTACCTAGAAGATATGGAATAATACGTACGCACAAAACATGTTACTATAATGGGGATTGTGAGTATTTTTGTACGAAAGTAAGGTGTTATGAATGGTCCAAAAGCTTCAAAAAATTTTTAAGGATCAGTTAAATATGAAACGGATTACGATGATACAAAAATAAGGGGGGAAAATTTCGATTATCTCGACACTGCCTTTTGTCATTTCGTTTGTAACACTTCTAACTATGCCGTAGACCGCATAAAGTATACATATATTCATGATCAGCATGGACTTCCAAGTCGATTTAGCGATGTCCGTCTGTCTGTATTTCCATCTGAAATGACGATACTGCCCACATCATTTGACTTAGAGCATTGAAATTTGACATAAGTATGAGCATTGTGTCAGGCATGGTTGGTATTGAAAATGAGATATATCGGTCTACGTTTTGGTGTAGCCCCCATATAACGGAACCTCCCGATATTCGGTATTTTAATAGTTATGGCCACCTTTTCCCACTGATTTGTCTAAATATTGGCACTTGTAGGTTCAACAACCGGTGTCAACCGCTCCACCCACATTATTGTTGTTTGAAAACTTTGACTGCATTCTCCAACCGATCTAACTTGTATTTCCAATTTAGGATTTCGGAGCCACACTCGAATGCTTCCGTTGTCCCATTCAATTTCAAGTACTCCCACCATTAGTGTCAAACAGATATAACTATGTGTGAAGTTCGGACTCCATCGAGGATACATTTCGCTTTCATTAAAGTTACGTCAGATTTTACATTTATTAGATGTTGACCTTTCGTAGGAAATATACTGGAAGTAGTGGATCGATACAGTGTAATAAGTAGTAGTACACCGAGTGTAATAAACAGTAAACGTCTTCGCACTCGTACTTACCTGATATTATTTCTCAATGCTCCATTAACAGTCTGGCCCATGTTTTTATGATATTGCGCATTTAATGGCTTCTTTCCCAGTACAGTACTCAACGGAGTTTCGTCGCCACGATTAGATTCCTGCGTCTGGCAGTTTTGATTAGTATTTTCTATTGAATTTTGAAAACAAGCATTTCGTTCCATATGAATAAAGGAATTATGACAGGTCGAATAATACTTTGTTGTTATACAACGATCGGATGCATTACACGATTTTTTATTTCTAGAATATACAGTCTTTGAAATGTTTTCATTTGATGGCAAGGGACCTTCATAATTTTCCATGACTCCAATCGAACGAAAGCTCTTGATAATCTGCAGTCAACCCACATTAAGTCTGCAACTACAGCACTAAAATACCGATTTTATTAACGCTTCTACTTCTAAAATTTATTATTTATTTTGTAGCTGAGATTGATTTCACTGTTCTGCCAAATATTTGCAAATCGACCTTGTGACGAATGAAAGTATTTTTAGTACCATAGTATGTATAACTATTGGAAACGTATTTTTGACAAATTTGGATCCATTTTGCATTCAAATCAACAGTCTTGAAAAATTATTTACTTTATTTTGTTGTTTTTTTTTACTTTTGTGCGTATACTAGTCTTTAATGCATAGTTTTTAAAGCATAATTACTTTCAGCCAGAGGTTTTAATTGGAGAGTTTAAAACCTAAATAATAGGTCACGTGTATTAAAAAGTATACACTAACTGTTTTTTTAATAGCTCCTCTACCCCTAAATTAGCCTAAACACACATTTTAAGAATGAATTTTGCATTTTAAGTTCTCATTGGATGGATTATTTCCATATCTAGTCAATTTCTTGCAGTTTTGGACTTCAGAATCGACAGTAATTCCTAAATTGAAATCCTGGCAATATGACTTTAATTTAACTATCATAAATAAAGTTTCATCGATTTATAAAAGTTAGGGACCACATAAAGTATGCTAAAAAGTTAAAATCTTTGTTGATTAGATTATGTCCGTGAGCCTCTTCATTCACCATCTGCAATTCCGATAGAAGTCACCAAATTTAATATGCGTCTTTCAAACTTTGCACAGGTTTTTATATTATTCTTAGGATGATTGATGTTACAAAAGGTATATATTTGTTCTCATTTAAATTTATCCCTCATATAATATTATCTCCTAATATTCGTCGACCAAATGTGCTCTAAATTTTAGGTAATTTGAAGAGCTCAAAAGCATTTTTGAGGTTATAAATCATTTGTCAGAAAATTACAACAAAAGTCCACTTTATGATTTAATTAATTAAATTTTCTGTTGAAGAGTGATATGAACTCCCAAAATAACACTTTGCTATATGAAATATTGGAACATCAGTATACCTTTGTATTCTATGTTGTTTATTGAAAAAATTATATTACTTACTTCCGTTGAAACCTTTAATACAATAACAGGTAATGGGCCTCCCCTTCCGCATATAAATTGTTTTCTTGTGTGATTTCGTATAGAAAAAAGGATTAAACAATATCGACCAATATGCAGATGGAAAAGCTTCGTGGAAGCGAGAATTTTGAAGATTGGAAATTTGGAGTTGAGGCATATTTTCAAATGAAAGGCCTTTGGAGTTCCATCCAGGGAACAGAAGAAAAGGAAGACAAGCAAATTCAAGCCAAAGCTGAACTGATATTGTTGGTGGACAAAGCGGTGTATCCCCACATAGGTGAGTGCAAAAGTTCGAAAGAAATATGGACAACATTACAGGGCATATACAAAGATAGCGGTCTTGTAAGGAGAGTTGGGCTCATCCAAAAGTTTCGCTCAAACAAATTAAAGGATTGTTCCAGCGTTGAAGAGTACGTGAATGAAATAATCAATTCAGCACACAAGCTAAGATCGGCCGGGCTAAATGTGGACGAAGAATGGATTGGTTCCATGCTTCTGGCTGGATTACCCGAGGAATATAAGCCAATGATTATGGGAATACAAAGTTCCAGCATTCAAATCACGGGTGATTCAATCAAATTGAAATTGCTTCAAGACATAAAAACGGAATCAACGGATGTGGCCTTTGCTAGCAATAAGAATGTGAAGAAAAATAAAGGACCTAAATGCTACAGTTGTAATCAGTATGGGCACATAGCTGCAAAATGCCTATGCAAAAATTCAAAAGGCGATTCTAAGAAGAAAGGCGAAGGCAATTCAGCGATGGGAGCTATTGCTCTGGGAACGTTGAAAAATAGCGATTGGTACTTCGATTCTGGTGCAACCGCCCATATGTATTCCAAATCAGAATTTTTCAACGACGACTTTCAAGAAAAGAAATCTGAAGTAACTATATAGCAAATAACACAAAGATGCTTGTGAATGGCGTTGGAAATGTGGATATGGTCTCTAAGGTTGGAAAGTTCAAGAAAGAAAACGTAACTTTTCGGGAAGTCCAGCATTTTCCAAATTTGTGTATTAATCTGCTATCACTCTCAAAAATCGTAGAAAGCGAATACGAAGTTGTATTCAACAGAAAGAGATGTAAAGTTCTGAACAAAGCTGAAGATGTCATTGTTACAGGCGAATTGATAGATGGTATTTTTCGCGTGAATATCTCTAATAACAAATCTCTGATTTGTCAAGAAAAAATCAAGCTGGGTGAGTTATGGCATAAGCGAACTGGTCATACCAATAAAGAAACGTTAAGGAAAATGTCTTCAGGTGCTGTTCTAGGCGTGGACTGTGAAATAAGTGATCAAGATTGTGTTTCATGTTTGAAGGGTAAAATATCAAGAGTGCCTTTTAAAGATGCTGGAACGAGAGCTCATGATGTTTTAGGTTTGGTGCACACAGATCTCTGTGACCCATTGGAGGTTCCTTCAACAAGTGAATCGAAATATATGCTCACATTTATTGACGATTTTACAAGAAAAGTTTTTGTATACTTCTTAAAAACAAAATCGGAAGTGGCAGATAAGTTCCGGGAGTTCAAGGAATTTGTGGAGAATCAATCCAACAAAAAAATCAAATCCCTAAGAAGTGACAACGGAACGGAATTCTGTAATAAGCGAATGAGAACAATAGTGATTCAAAATGGAATTGATCATCAAACCACCGTGTCCTATACTCCAGAACAAAATGGGATGGCTGAAAGAATGAACAACGAGATGTCTTTTAATTGAATCGAAGCTGGATAAGAAGTTTTGGGCCGAAGCAGCTAATACAGCAGTACACCTTATCAATCGAACCCCTTGCAAATCCATCAAGAATATTACCCCTGAAGAAGTGTGGTCGGGCAAAAAGCCGTGTTTGAAATACCTTAAAGTGTTTGGATGCAAAGCCGTCATCCACATCCCAAAACAAAAGAGAAGAAAGCTCGACAATAAAGGCAAAGAAGTCATATTTGTTGGACACTCGAATCTCGCCAAGACGTACAGATTTTACGAGAGTGAATTTAGTAACAAGATGATTTCAGATGATGCAAAATTTTACGTTTTAAGCGGATGTGATTCAGTGGGGGAAATAGATTGCACAGACGCTGAAGTAAACCTGCCGGAATCAGATAGCGACATTACCATAAGCAACACAAGCTCCGAAGTTGTGCATGAGGAAGAAGATTCTGAGTATTACTCTGATGAAACGGATTGCTCGCCACTTGTTGGTTTTGATAATGGATCCGATAGTAATTCCGCTGGTCTACCTAAAACTAGAATCACACCGCCACAAAATTTAAGACGGTCATCAAGAATTTCGAAGCCTGTAAAAAGATATGATTACGTGTACAATGCTATAGATACAAATGAAGAACCCAAGACCGTAAAAGGAATCTATAAAGCGCAGTGGGAAAAGGCAATGAACGATGAATTGAAAGCTCTGAGAGAAAACAATACCTGGACTCTCACCAATTTACCAGAAGGAAAGAAGCCAATTGACAGCAAATGGTGTTTTAAGATTAAACGAGACACAAAAGGCGATATCGAGAGATTCAAGGCCAGGCTTGTAGTGAAATGATACTCTCAGAAGTACGGTATCGATTATAAGGAAACCTTTTCACCTGTTGTCCGATATTCCTCCATTCGATTGTTATTAAGCTTAGCAGCTCAGCACGATTTGGATATTGACCAAATGGATGTAGTGACTGCTTTCCTTCAATGTGATCTAACTGAGGAAATATACATGAAAATTCCTGAAGGACTTCAAAACTCCAACGGTATGGTATGCAAGTTAAATAAATCATTATACGGTCTGAAGCAAGCCAGTAGAGTTTGGAACAAGAGACTAGATGGTACACTTTTTATTAAGAAAAGCTCATTATATCTTGGGAATGAGAGTAACTCGAGATCACAAACAGGGGATGTTATGGCTGGATCAAGAACTTTACATTCGTAACATTCTGCAGAAATTCAACATGCTAGACTGCAACCCGTTAGATGTTAACCAGAAATTGCCAAAGGAGATGTGCCCATCTACCGAAGAAGAAGTAGAGGAAATGAGAAAAGTTCCTTACCAAGAAGCCATTGGAAACTTACACTATGCAGCACAAGTCAGTCGACCGGATATTTCTTATGCAGTGGGGATTTTGTCCAGATACAACAATACATCAGGAAAAGCACATTGGCAAGCTGTCAAAAGAACTATGAGGTATTAAATAATAATTTGAAAAATCTGATAAAGAATACCTGGAGGGATTTTCTGACGCTGATTGGGCTGGTGATCTAGATGAAAGAAAATCGACCTCAGGATATGTCTTCAAGTTTCAAGGTGGATGCATTTCTTGGAATTCAAAAAAAAACAAGAGACTACAGCCTTATCGACGACAGAAGCAGAATATATGGCTTTGTCTGCATGTGACATAAGGCTTCTTTGATTCATGAACTTGGAAATACATCACCGGTCAAAATTAAATGTGACAACAAAAGTGCTATTAATTTAATCGTAAACAGCGCCTATCATGCCAGATCAAAAAATATCGACATTAGACATCATTTCATAAGAGAACTTGTGGAGAATGGAAAGATTAACGTTGAATATATGTGTACAGAGGATATGGTAGCAGATGTACTTACCAAACCGTTGACAAGATTGAAACATGCTCATTGTTGTGAACTTATGACATTAGGAGTACAATCTAGTGAGGGTGTTGAAGAGTGATATAAACTCCCAAAATAACACTTTGCTATATGAAATATTGGAACATCAATATACCTTTCTATTCTATGTTGTTTATTGAAAAAATAAAATTACTTACTTCCGTTGAAACCTTTAATACAATAACATTTTCAATTCTCAATTATCAGCATTATAAAGGTCTTAGCAATATTTCCAAATCATAAGGGTTTTTAACATGTCGATTAAACTATATATGTCTGTGTATGCGGCCGTTCGTTGAAATCGCA